CTATATCATTTATTATAATTATATTACATAAATAAATAAAAATATCACATCAAATTAATATTTATATTTTAATAAAAAAATAAAAAACAAAATTACTTTATTACCCTCACCCTCTCAATTCAATCCATCTTCTTCCCCCTCTTTCTCTTTCTCTTTCTCTTTCTTTTTCTTTCTTTCTTACCCACCAAACCCAAATAGAACCCAACAGCTGGGTTCGTTCGGCTGTGTTGGGTATTGACGAACCAACACATCTCCCACTCTCAATCCATCTTCTTCCCCTCTTTCTTCCCTCTTTGTCAAACCCAAATCCGTTGGGTTCCATGGAACCCAGTAGATCTGGGTTCTGTCAATCCCCTTCTTCCTTTCCTTCTTCTGTTCTTTCTTTCTTCCCTTCCTTCTTCCCCTCCTTATTCCCTCTCTATCGAACCTAGATCTTTTAGGTTCCATCGAACCCAACAGATTTGGGTTCCTCGAACCCCTTCTTCCCCTCTTTCTTCTCTCTCTGTCAAACCCAGATCTGTTGGGTTCGATGGAACCCAACAGATCTAGGTTCCATCTTGCACATTGACATTCACCGTTTCCTTCTCTCTTATTTAGTTCACATGAATTTAAGGTTTGAACATGGATAAATTTTTGTAATTTGTAGTCAAGTTGCAGTGAGGGGAAAGGGGAAAAAAGTGGGGGAATGGAGAAGATAGCGCTTGAGTGGTGATGATTGTTGGGTTTCTTTCAAATTTTAAGATTTTTTAAAATTTTAATTAATGAGACTTAATCAGTGCTACACAAGTTAGAAAAACGCAGATACGAAAAGGCAAATTTTGATTATGACGTAATAGAACTTGTAAACACAACTAAATTGTAGGTTATGGTTGCCTTGTTTTTCTTTGGATAGAACTGTAAAGGTTGCCCTCTTTCTTCCCTCTCTATCGAACCTAGTTGTTAGGTTTGATTAAACCCAGTAGGTCGAGTTCAATGAAACCTAGCAAGTGGGATTAGTTAAACCCAATAGTTGTGTTCAATCTTAACTGGAGCAAAAAAAAAGAAAAAGGGGAAGAAGATAAATCGAGGGAGACCAGGTGCTAAGATAAATTTTTTGTTTTTTATTTTTTTAATTAAAAATATGAATGTTCCTTTTATTTGGCATTATTGTTTGCACACATAATCAAATTATAATACATATTATTGACACCTCATCAAAAGAATTAAAAAAAAATGTCACATGAAATTATTTAATAATCACATCATGCTTAATGATGAAAGGACCAATGTTACATATTTTTTAAAGTTAAGAGATAAAAAAAATATTAAAAATTATTGAGAAACCAAAAAAATACAACTTTATAAAGTTGAGGGACTAAATTTAACATTTAACCTTTCATAATTGAGAATATACATATCCAAAAATTTATAAACAGCAGAAAAGTAGAATTTAACATTGAAAAAAAAAAAAGGTAAGATTTTAGTTCCGTATAAGTTTTATAAATTATATTAATATAAAATTTTAATTATTTTTTTTTT